ATTCACAATTTTTGTTCCCCTTCACCCATAGATGCTTTGTGCCAAATTTGGTTGAAATTGGTTCAGTGGTTTCAGAGAAGAAGATGAAAATGTTCAAATGTTAACGCACGACACACGACACACGCCACACGACGACGGACGAAAACGGATAGCAATAGGTCACCTGAGTTTACTCAGGTGACCTAATAAGTAAGTAGATAAGTATAACATGACAACATAATCGTTTGATAAATACTGTGAGAATAATAAGTTCAATAACTTTTTGTACCTCAATTATCATGAAAATGTCAAAATAATAAAACATACTATTCACAACAATGCATTTCTATGAATGATTGCATCACAAGCAAAAAAAACCTAGATTTTCTTCAAAATAAAATCTAATCAACTACAGATAACGTTTTTACAAGATTCGGAAACACATGAAAACAGATACAAAATGTATATTTAACAATTTTACTGATCAATTACGTATAATTGCATAATGCACATATTCTTAAAGAATACAGACTTAATTTGTTCATTTGATAAGCCTACAATTGATTGCATTTACCTTTTAAACACTCAAAAGTCATCTTTACATTGAGAGACTTCGAACACAAACTAACGTAATACTATAGTAAGCTCAAAGCGCATGCGTCATTTCTTTGTTGATCGAATTTTCTCTGTTTGAACTATAGTTTCTCCAACATGGCTGATATCGAGGACTTTTTTTTATTTGTTTCTTGAAACTTTACTAGATGATGTAGAATTAAAGGGCAGATTTTTTTCTAATGCAGAAAAAACACTGCATGCGATCCAGTTAAAGAGAGACAAAGTAGCTAAAGTAGAAGGATACGTTGTGAATGTTGTACATGTCACAGGGTGAATAAATTAATATTATAATAAATACTTTATAATTTATTCATTAATAATTTGTGACCTAATATACTTATCATTTCATTACTATCATCATCATTTTCATTTATTATACAGCATAGTGAATAACAGTACTCTGGAATTTACTATGTGTTCAGTCATTCATAAAGTCGTTCATTGATATTCATGGGGTTGAATGCTCATTGGTTAGTTTGAGAGTGTGAAAGGTCAAAGGTGTCTGTGTCAGAATGGGTGAGGTTTGAAGGTGTATGATTGGTTGATATTTCAGTGTGAGAAGTGTGTGAGTGGTTTTACTAGTTTGGTACCCAATACGCATGCTTGGCGCCAAACACCCTTAATAACTCACTCCACCCTAAGACAGCCAGGAGGAAGGAAGAGTATATCTCCTCTCCAGATATAAAGTCTTTCATTTTATAATGAAGACAAATTAACCTGTCTATTCGTTAAGAATTAATTTACCACAGTTGCTCTGATTATATTAAATACCCTATCTATTAATTATCTAATTAAAGAGAACAGTTTAAATAATCTTAAAGAATTAAATGTGAGTGTTAGCTAGTGTATAGTGTATTCATTTATTTTACAGGTTACCTTCTATTACTTGTTATTCTTCTTATAATATTCATCAAAGTAACTGAAATACAGATACGCAAATGAACCAAAGCAGCTGTTCTGTTTTTTATAAGAAGTAACAACTTTCTGCGGCTGTGACAATGGCCCCAACGGTGTAATTTCAGTTAAAAAGAATTCATAAGGTGATTCGATCTAATCGGTGGAGAAATCATCCATTCATGCATTCTTTTATATCATTCATTATGTGAATCATTTCAACACTGTGTTTAGTGTTTGTGAGTTTTACTCAGTGGCCTAACTTCATCAAGGAATGTACCGTTATGCCCCGTGCACTTAATCTACATATTTGTGAGGTCACAGACACATGAACCTAGGTTACTTTTGTTTTCGCTGGATATCCGAGGATCTTCGCCGCTGGAAACCGTTTTCTGGACGACACTGGACCAGTGACTGTTTTCCAAGGATTCTGTGACTTTTTTTAACTCTTAATATTAATATTCTCATTGTGTTTGTTTAAATTGCATAATGTGATATTGTTTATTTTCATGTGCATGGTATGAACGTTGCATGACGAGTGTGTAAAATTTCTAAAAGTTTAAAGTTAAAGTCAAACAGTTAAAGTAAGTAATTTATAGCAATACAGTTATTGACATTCATATCATCCCCGCATGTCTCTTAACAAGATGCACTACTAACAACAAGTACGCAATCACGATTGTGTTGTGAAATATAGAGGAAATTCGAGTTAGCAGGTGCGAGGTGAGAAATAGAGTATAGCTGTTGTCAGGAGAACCTGGAAGTAAAATTTAGTGTCATAAATAGTTTATTTCAGCTCATTTCATCACCAAATCATATCATACAAACATGTTATCAAATATTAACCAGTCTTATTAATTTTTGTGACTTACAGGTGATACTTGTTATCTTGTTATACAGTGACAGTTGATTTCTATGAATTACTTTTCCATGATCAAACTCATTTCATAATTTGTTGCAGATATTCAAATATTTACAGGAAAAGAAGAGGTGAAAGCAGTGTTTATTTTTGTATTCATTATTTAGTTTATTTTTATTTAATCGTTCATCTAGGTATATATGAGCAACAGCAAATTATTGAAGTATTCAGAAAGACCAATTATATCCAAGTCTGTAGTTAGATTTTTTATCAATAGTCCGCCCCGAAACATGGCTGAAAAATTGGCGACTCGGCGTTAAACAATATTCAATCACTCAAAATTGTGAATTCTATTTCCTCTGGTTTAAAACACGAACCAAATTTAATTCTTTGAAAGTTGTTGCACAATACTCAGGTGACCTACTAGGCCCGTGGGCCTCTTGTTTGGATTTGTGGAAATATTTATTATTACTTTAACTGTTACTCAGTGAAACAAAAATTTCAAAAAGATTTATTCATATTCATATTCTAGAGTTCAGAACTTTTGACTGATGCATCGAAGGCACACAGAACATACAGTGGTTTGGGGGTTAACAATATAGGAGACAGAACATCCACGATGGTAACGGACAAAGATGGTGTCGTGTGTAAGTGCTTGTGGCAGAGGAGGTCATTCTTGCAAATGTGAGACTGAATTATTTGGGGATTTTACCCCATCATACCACGTAACTAGAACACTTCTATTGATTCAAAGCATTGATAAGATTCACTGTGCAGACACCACAACACTCAACAAAGCCAAAACGAATTTCGCAGCAAACAAAACAAAAAAATGAGGAGTCATAAGACAGTTTTTTAACCCTACACTGCATTGAGATTGACACTTTTATTTTCCATCCGTCTAGAGACAATGATTTTTCCATAAAGAAGGATCTTCTCATAATTTCTCGTATTTAACAAAAAAATGAAATTTTCACAGAATCAAGAAGACACTATAAATAAATAAATTCACAAGATCTTGATACATGAAAGCAATTAAATGTCTAATGCATACAAAAAATTAGGTCTTTTGAAAAAACTTAAGTTTAAAATAAATCGGAAAAGCCTTTCACTTATGTATACTTCATTTATCCGTCCCCAACTTGAGTACGCTTCAATTGTATGGGGTGGTTGTCTATCCATTGATTCCGAGAAATTAGAAAAATTGCAACTACACGCAGCTAGCGCGGATTGTTACTGGACTAACTATGATTGCCTCTAGAGACTCTTTATATTTTGAAACAGGATGGGAACCACAGCGACAGACGTAAGATCCAAAGATTAAATATAATGTACAAAATTCACAATGATTTAGTACCAAATTACCTATCCGAGATTATACCTGATATGCGATGTAATGCTTCTGCATATACAACAAGAAACTCTCAAAATTATAGTATACCTGTATGTAAATTGCAAACCTACAAATCATCATTTGTACCAACTGTAATAAATGAGTGGAATTCCTTACCGCTAAATACCAGACTCTCGAGCTCTTTGTCTGCTTTCAAAAGTAAAATCAAACAAAAAATAACAGAAGCTCCGCCCTATTTTAATTTTGGTAAAAGACGCAACAATATACTGCATACACGGCTTCGGCACAATTGCGTGCTTAACGCTGATCTTTATAGATGTAATATAATATCTAGTCCACTATGTTCCTGCGGTAAGGTAGAAAATACGCATCATTATTTTTTCTCATGCCCTAACTACAACGAGGCCAGGAAAGAGTTTTTCGATAAGTTTTTGAGATTTAATAAAGTCCATATTGTTGACATTCAGATTTTACTTTGGGGGGATACATCACTCAGTATTGCTGAAATTGAATATCTATTTTCTATTGTACATTCTTATATTCAGCATTCTGGTAGATTTAACTGATTGTACACTTTTTAAAACTATTTGTATAAACAATAATGTAGCAGTTATGTATGTCCACAATGAGAGTTTATTTTTCTGACAGAAAAGAATATACATGTACACATAATTAAAGACTAACTGAAAAGACAAGAGTGGGGCGTCATAGGCCTACGTGAAGACCGCTGTTTAATAATGGCCTTTAATAATTCGATAAGGTAGCTTTATAATCGGGATTGTAAAATTTTCTTTTGAAAGAATTAACACCCCCCCCCCCCAAATCTTTTAGTAGCACTAGTATTTGAGATGCATGACTTGGTAACTAAAAAAAACTCATTGCCGTATGTGTGCTAAAAATAAATATTGATAGAGGCGCAATTTTCCTTTTGAAATTCCTAATCATTGCAAGATACGTTTTGACGTCGTCATTGTTGCGCCGACAGCTAATTTGATAGGTTCCTTTACATAAGAGGAAAATTTTATTTATAGAGATATTTGTTTGAAATTTTTATGCATTATTCAAAAATGTTGATCATGATGTATGCTAATTTTTAATTTTATAGGCCTAGTAAAACAAAAGATATAAAAATGTTCGCGTTTTTCTGGGACAACCCTCGTATGTGCGCACGTTTTTGGAAACTCGGGGAAACTTGACTTCAAATCAAATCTGGGGCGAAAATATGCGTATACTATTCAGGATGGAGCATTAAGCCACATGTCCGTTATCGACACCAGCCTTCGGGCTATAACGGAAAAGATGGACTCTTTTAATACTCTGCAAGAGTCGATGAACAACATGCAGAAAGATCTGTGGAATGAGGATGGACTAGACGATAGGATTAGATACATCGCTCAAAAGCATGAAGATAACCAGTCTGAAATAGAAATTTTAAACAGGAAAATATTACCCTCCGTAAGGAACTTCAGCTGTTGAAGTCGATTGTTGTAAATTTATACAGGAAAGTGACACAACAAGAAAGTGAGATTGTAGACCTGAGAGGAAGATCTATGAGAGATAACATTCTGATCCATAATCTGGCAGAAGAGGAAAACGAGGATCTAAATGCAAAAGTTCACCAGATCATAAGTGATCATTTAAAACTGGATATCGGTTTTGTCAGAATCCATCGTAACGGACCTCGAATGCAAGGCAATAAACCCAGAACCATTACGGGAAAACTACGCGACTCTAAAGATAAGGACCAGATCCTGGCAGCCCAAAGAGCTCTGCGGGAAAAGGAGAAAAAAGAGAACAAGGAGAAAAGTACCTTACCTTGCTACATTACACCTCAAACACCAGTGCAAATTAACGAAAGTAGAAGGAGGCTTAAGGAGATTAATACACAGTACAGAATGAACAGAATAGAAACTAAAATAATTGGGAATAAAGTTGTGTTTCCCAACGGAAATCTGTATCAGGAAAAGGTTACCACGCCTAGAGCTGAAGATCTACTCTATGTGGACGAGGCAGAAGAGGAAAAGTTAGAGGCGGTGACAAGTGATCCTATCTATGAGGGTGGCAATGTCTTCAAAGCGGTGGCAACAAAGGCGAGTACGTATGCAGAGGTCAGACAGTTTTACAAAAAAGTTATGATTGACCCGAACTCAGCCAACGCGCACCATTACGTCCTATCATACCGGATACAAGATGCACAAGGGAACATCCGCGATGGATACTGCGATGACGGAGAATACGGCGCAGGTAGGAGAGTGGTCCAACTTTTAGGAGATCAGAGTGCCACTAAGGCCGCATTCGTTATTTCATCATATCGGGCCAAGGCGCTTCGATATCATATGCGATGCCGTTCTCAATGCTGCCAATAAACTCTGAACAGTTCAAAGAATGAATAATTTAACACCTAACTTTTCCTGTTATCTTTGGATAATGTTTCTATAAACTTAATGAGTACTATACATGTACACATTTTATTTCTGTAGGTGCATGAAAAAGCGCTTACGTACTTTATATACATATACCAGTTTAACTCTTGTACCTGAAAACAATATACATGTATTAACTTTGATACTGCATGTAAACATGCAATATTTGTAAGTTCCCTTTTTCTTGTTTTTTTCGAAACTCAATTGTAATTCTGTATCATATATTACCAAAAGACACTGTCACATCAAAATAATGCATAAAATTATGTATGACATCTTTTATTTATTTTCTTTTGAAAATTCTAACCTGTGGCAATATCTCGTTTGGTCGACCAGTTCCAGTCGAGTCTCTCTTTGGGTGTCCCAAGTGTATGCTTTGTGCCTAAACTATACAAAAAAAATGATTGCTCATTATTTACAACTTTTTTTGATCGTAAGATAATCTTGATTTTCTATCTTTATTTTAGATTAAAAACAATTAACATTTGACATTATCATTTGACAAAATAAACTTAGTGCTCATGACGACACTGTCATATCAAAATAATGCATAAAATTATGTATGACACTTTTTATTTATTTTCTTTTGAAAATTCTAACCTGTGACAGTATCTCGTTTGGTCGACCAGTTCCAGTCGAGTCTCTCTTTGGGTGTCCCAAGTGTAGTTGTTTGTGGTGAAACTATAAAAAAAAAATTGATTGCTCATTATATACAACTTTTTTTCTGCTCTCAAGATCAATTTGATTTTTATCTTTCTTTTTACATTTAAACATTTAACATTACCATTTGACACATCATCGTCAGCATCATCATCATCTTCCTCAGCACTGTCTGATACTCCTAAAATAAGATAAGCTTAAATTAGTTAAAAAAAAGTTAGAATGAGAAAACACAGGTAATAATAATGTATACAAATGATATATCATGTCTTTTGTGGTTCTTTCAATAATCAGTGTCACTTGACATCTTGTATTCTGCTTATCAATGGCTTGAAATAGTCTGTTGCTGTATGTGTTCTAAATTGCTGGGTATCTTTGAACAATATCATAGCTTCAGTGTATTATTTGTATATTCTTCTGTTGAGAAACACAGATAATAACAATGTATAAAAGTGGTATCTCCTGTTCTTCGTGGTTCTTCCAATAATCGGTGTCACTTGACATCCTGTATTCTGCTTATCAATGGCTTGCAATAAATAGCCTTTTGCTGTATGTGTTCTAAATTGCTAGGTATCTTTAAACAATGTCATAGCTTCAGTTTATTATCGCTATATTCTTCTGTGTGACTCTACATATTTGTATTTGGTAATGTACCACAATTGTTTTACTTCTTACAAAGTAATAATTATCGTGACTTACGGGTAGGTGGCCTTTCTGTTGTCTGGTCAATCACGCGAAAGGGTTCTGTAAAAGATTTTCAGAGGGGTCGTCTCAAAATATAAAATAACAAATCTTAAATTTTCGTTCGTTTTGGAACATAAACACAGGCACACACAATCAAAGTACTGAAAGTACTGAATCGAGGTGACGTGTGTGGTTGAAATGACAGATTGAAGGAAATGAAAGGAGATTGGTGTATTGAATTCATGTAAAAGTTAAAAGCATTTAAACTCTTGAACAGTGGAAGATATAGACTCCACATAAGGTATGCATACTCCACAAATTAAGCTCTTTCAAATGATGTGAAGGAATTTGTGACCTTAACAGTGATTTATAGCTTTAAATTGTTTTTTTTTTTAACTCTCACTTTAACTTTTGAACCTTGATAGATTAAGTTTTCATATTTGGTGTGCAGACTCCACTGATCAAACTTTTTCAAATGACACCAAGGTCAATCACCTTGTGACCATGATTGTGACCTTTATGCTAAATATATCTTTTTTCCGAATTTTGTTGTCGCTGGTCGCATAATGTTTCACATACACATCTTATTCTTTCATTTCTTTGTATCATTAATTTTTTGTTACCAGAAGTTAAGTTCAGGACACACAAATAAAAGTTTGTTCCAATGGAGAAAAATTTTGTAAATTCTTATACTTAAATCTGGCAGAAAGCATTTTTTGATCAAACTGAAAGCTTGAAATCATGATTATCCATTACAGAGGTTCACTCTACAAAAAGATTACAAGGACTAACAAGGCAACTTTCTTTTTATGTTTCTTAATTTGAAAGGTGGTGTTGCAGAAAAACATCTCATTTAAACTTGTGATACTTTGTAAGAAAATGAAGTCATAATTCAATTCATTCCAATGTTTATTGACTGTACTTAAAGATAACTATGTATAACATGGACTAGAAAAATTTGTTGGCAGTAAACATAATTGCTAGCCTGTGCAACAGAAGTTTTCCAAAAAAAAGGAATTACCAGTATTAACATGTAAATACATATATATATATCTTTAAAAAACATAAAAGGTATATAAAATAATGTAGCAGAAAACATTGTCAGTTCTGTATCAAAGAATCAGCAAAAATATATTTGTAAAATTATACCGTTATGATCTGGATATTTTTATGTCAGTTTTATTTTGTGAATGTGGGGCAATATGTTGTTTTTAATTTTTGCATTCCAATATTTTGCCAATGATCACTCCTTTGTTTACATTTTCTTACTGTTTAATGATTTTGAAGCAAATTATATTATTGTGAGTGTAATGAACTCACATAATTGCTAAAATGTATCAATAGCAGAAATATCCAGATTTACGGTATTCAGTAAAACATTATTAAAAGCACTATAGTAATAGAGTATGGGCAAGGCAATTGAACATAAATGTTGTAGAAAGTAACACATAAATGGCACAGCACAGTATTAGTACTTACAAAGAAGTAACATCATTGGCTTTTATGTGAGTGAGAACATGTCTCTGATTGGCAGGATTTTTGAAAATTGGCACAAAATGCATAATAATATAAAACAAATACAATTCTAAGTTCTACACATCTACACTAAAAAAGTCTAAATGTACTGATAAAATTAGAAAAAAAAAGAAAACAATAAAAATTACATACAAGTTAACAGAGTGTTTAAAACAATGTATTTATAAAATGTTTCTCAAAAGCTGCAATGCATTTGATTGATTTGCCAGAGTTTGAATTTAAGGTATTCAATGTATAACGACCATATTTTGTACCTAATAAATGAACTGTCCAATATTTTTAATCATGGTAGCAATTTGAAGATATTATCAAATGAAAATGCTCCACCAAAGGAATTTACAAAGTTTTGATTATTGTCCAATTAATATCACTTTGAATTTTACATTGAAGTCCATGGGCAGTGCATGTTTTTATAAGATATTGTAAAAAGTAATTTGAATTTCAAAGAAATCTCTTGGTGAAAATATGCATAAACTCCCTCTTTATTAAAATATAAAATAAAATAAAATTATTTACCACAGAAATTTTGTGAAATCAAAAATTTTCTTCTTTTCATCAAGGGCAGATAACTCTTCAAAAACTGTTAATGTGCGAAATGACTGTCTCCTTACATTTTATAAGTCTTGTGAATTTGGTTTATTTCACTTTTATTGTTTTCTAGCTGTGTGCTTTTAAGGTCAAGATCTAGTAAATGGAAGGTGCCTACAGATTTTTGAAATTTAAGAAATTAATTCCTTTAATGATGCTTTATAACGTTAGCTTGGTCAAAATATGTGTTTCGGGGCTTAATTTGTAGAAAAACAAGATGAAAAACCATATTTTAAACTGTCATTTTCAATGAAAAATTTAGAAAACCAGTATTGAAAATGGGAGTTTTTCCCATATCTGGCAAAGAAAATGTATCCAGATTGCCTACAGTTTTTCAGAAAACGGTTATATGTATGTTCTTAGTCTCTACTTTAAAATAATGTTAAATTTAAGATAGGTATCGGGACTACTTTTCATGTAATTTTAAATTGAATTGCATGAAAATACTTTATTTTCTACATAATCATGATAATTCTATTAGAGCCGTAAAGTACGGGAAAAAGAAAGTTGAAAGTGATTATGACGTCATAATGGATTTAGCACTGAAAATTCATTCTAAATTCATTTACTAGATCTTGACCTTAACTATTTTAAAATTATTTAAAATCAGTCAAAATCCCTTCGTTATACATTGAATACTTTAAACAAACCTATGTTTACAAGCACAAAGCAAAGATATACTAGTACTGAAGGTTGTAAAGAGAAACTTATAGAAATAGCAATATTTGTACATACATTCCAATGTTATCATTAACTTAACAAATGTGTAAAGTGATTAGATGGTGAACACATTAGGTAACCTGTACACAAAATAAAATCAACCACATTTGAAACAGCTATGTACATGTTTATCAGTATCATCCAAACATGCCCAAGTGTACAGAAACATACTAGTAATACAAAATAATAATAATAATGAAACATGGAGTATACAACTGATATTGTTATCACAAATGAATGAGTAAAATGGTCCCTGATTAGTAGCAGTACTTATCATAAGCACTAGAATCCCTTTATATCAATTTCGTTGTAATATATTTAACATCCAAAAAAAGAAAAGGAACACTGAACATATAGAATGTGGTGGAAATATATACATTATGCTGAATAATAGCTAAACTAAGTAACCATAATGGTTAAACTTCATAGCTAAACAAAACACCAAATATCCTTGAGTATCATCATGTGAAAAAATAACAAAATTACATAAAGAAGAGGATATGAACATACCGGTATGCATGCAGGCTAACATCTCTAAGGAAAATGCTAAGATAGCACATGCTAAAATAGCATATCATATGTATGTAAACTGAGGTAAAAAAAAAACCCTGAGTAGGTAAACAAGTCATGATGATACAATGCTCTATATACTTTAAATATATACATCTTCTCAATGGACTTGGCACATTAATTCAGCAATAAGGTTACAACTGTGGTTAAAGGAATAGGAACAAAAACATTGTACTAATCTTGTATGAATGGATTTAAAATGGAAAACGTCAAAGATTATATATAGTATGAAACTTAAGTAATGTACAATACGGTATACCTGTTATTTATTTTTTCACAGGAAATAAGAACATATAACTTTATTTATCAAGGAATGTTGTTTTTACATTTAAGGAAGACCTAGCGTACTGTTTGTAGCACATGATGTCAGTGACATATAGGAGATACAAAAAATCTGTTGTACGAAATATTTTAACAATGAATATATGGTACATAAAGGCTGAACAATTTGTACATTTGTGAAAAGTAAGCAATAAACATTGTTGATGGATAAATTAAATGATGGCAATATAGAACAGTTTGATTTGCTTAAAATGGCATATCGAGATAAAAAGGTAACCAATACACAACCACACAAGAACACATCAATGGTATTTACTAATCAGATAGGTTGAGAGAAGCATAATTTAATACAAGTTAGGTTGTAATGTGAACAGTCTATATACATGTACATCATGCATTTTGAATTGTTCAGTGAAAAATCCCAATTCTACTCAAGTTTAAAAATCACTAATAAATCTGTTGTAAAATAAAAACAGTTAAAAATACAAGGGGAATAATGGGGTAAACAACTTCATTATAAAACTAAATGAATTCCACTTGAAAGCAATTCTTCGGCTGGAAACTGTTTTGAAGAAAGTTATGTGTCTGGTAAATACCTCCACCCCAACCTTTAATCAAATGAACTTCCTTGTTAACTGCAGTACAAGTTACAAATGAAAAGCAAGAATACAGAAATGTCAGGAAACTTCACAGGGTTTTGGAAAGGAAGATCTATATGGACAGGACAGAGAGCACATTTATTTGGATTTGCCGACGGAGATGATCTTTTCCATTGTCGAGTCTTAGAATACAAAAGAGCACTGGAGTGGAAGTTTCTTTTCAATCTCGCTCTCCAAGTTTTCGAGAGTGCAATCTAATGCTTTGGACATCATTTCAAGAGGTACATCATAAGTTAGGTAGTCATCCTTTACATTCATGAGGAGGGAGATGTGGAGTTCTGCTTTATGAAATCCAATGACGGATCCCTGAACTTTTACTACTGGCGGCTCACATTCCTGGAACAGAGAAGAATACTTTAAAATAATAGACTCAATGAGCATTATTTAATTTAAGAATTGCTTGTAATTTTTGAAAGCAGTATATTATATAATGGAATAATAGTATATTAATATAAAGAATGTCTTTTTATTGTTGGAATACATTAAACAGGGATAAAATAAAGACAAAAAGTGCCAGTGATGTGACAATTTAGCTACATTTAACCCCCAGACCCCCTCTTTAAAATGATAGGAATGAAAATAACTTAGCTGGAAGACTTAAATATTATAGGCGCGTTTGCTATAATAATATGGTTTTACTGTAAATAAATACCATTTTGTATTATTTGATTTATAACATAAATGCCTTTGAAACAAGTTTATGAATTAAAATTGGGAGTACAATCTTACTTCAAGAACACTCTTAGAAGTCGTTGAAACAGAGATCTCTTCATTGAAGTTGGTCACAACAACATTGGTTATTGACAAGTATTTCCCAACAATGGATGAGTCACTCAAGTCCCTCCACAGGGAAACTTTAATACTGTCAGTGTCGTCTTTGAGAGAGACACTCTTTACACAGACATCTACTCCCTTCACCTTCACGGTTTTGGTCATATCCTCCTTCAATGAGAAAAATCAGATTAAAGATATAAGAATATGGTAATTTAAAAAGCACGGTAGTTGACAATATAATAAAACAATTTGTTTAATTAAGGATGTGTATCCAATATTTCACAGTTATTCTGCATAGGAATTAAGCTAAAATGACTGACTATATGTTAAAATCTGTAAGAGTAGTACATATGAAATTTGACTTATTTAAGTTAATACGGGTACTTACAGACACAATTCTGCCCTTGACAGAGACCAGGGACTTCACAGGTAATGTCTTGATGTCCTTAATGGGTCGAGTCATAGCAGGTGGTGGATTTGCAATCCTCGCACCTTTCTCCATAGTTGCATGTGGAACCTCCATGGCTCCTGTTTTCATGACTTTTGTGTTTTTGGTAATAATGACTGTTGGTTCATTTTCATTCTTGTAGATGTAATTCATCAGAATCACGGTGTTGTCTGCATTCAGGGATTTGAGTTTCGTGGTGTCATATACAGTGCCCTTCATGGCATCTGTTGAATCAGCTAGTCCAACTGTGGCACATTCCTTTTTTTCTCCATTGTCTGTTTGATACCTTTGAATAGTACCAACTCCACACACTTTCACCTTAAGGGGTTGCGAGTACGGTTTGTTTCCCTTGCTCTCTCTCAGTTTAGCAACTGTTAGCATCTGTAATAAAAGAAAAACAAGAGGCCCAAGGGCCTTGAATCGCTCTTCTGATAAATTGTACAACCTATCACTTGTATTTCAAGCCTCTAACCAAAAGTATCCTATTAAAGACCCAAGTTGCATCACCTGACAAAGTTTGATGATTCTTAGCCAATTAGAACTACTTTTTGGTCTACAATCTTGGAAATCACAAAATGCATCAAGTGACAAAGTTTGATAATTCTAAGCCAATAAATACCTGAGCTATTTAAAAGTAGGTCACTGTGATCTCAGAAAAACCAGGATGCATCAACTGACAAAGCATGATGATTCTTAACTAATAAGTACCAGAGATACTTAAATATAGCCATAAAATGTCGAAAGTAGGTCATTGTGACCTACATTTTGGTTGACATTTTTAGAGTCCCATGACGCATCTGCTGACCAAGTTTGATAATTCTAAGCATATAAATACCTGAGATATTCAAAAGTAGGTCACCATGACCTACTTTTAGGTCGACATTCTCCGAAAATCCAAGATGCATCAACTGACAAAGTATGATGATTCTAAATCGATAAGTACTAGAGATACATAAATATAGCCATCAAATGTCAAAATGTAGGTCACCGTGACCTACTTTTTGGTCGACATTCTACGAAAACCCAAGATGCATCAAATGACAAAGTTTGATGATTCTAAGCCAATAAGTAACGGAGAATACTTAAATATAGCCATAAAATGTCGAAAGTAGGTCATTGTGACCTACATTTTGGTTGACATTTTACAGAGTCCCAAGATGCCTCTGCTGACCAAGTTTGATAATTCTAAGCCAATAAATACCTGAGATATTCAAAAGTAGGTCACCATGACCTACTTTTTGGTCGACATTTCCCGAAAACCCAAGATACATCAACTGACAAAGTTTGATGATTCTAAGCCAATAAGTACTGGAGATACTTAAATATAGCCATAAAATGTCGAAAGTACGTCACTGTGACCTAATTTTTGGTCGTCACTCTCCGAAAACCCAAAATGCATCAACCCACAAAGTTTGATGATTCTAAGCCAATAAATACCTAAGATACTTAAATATAACCATAAAATGTCGAAAGTAGGTCACCGTGACCTACAATTTTGGTCTACATTTTTCAAATTCCCAATATGCATCTCCTGACCATGTTTGATGATCATAGGTTTGAAGGTAATCAAAATATGCCTTTTAAACAATTTGAAAACAAATGCCTGCAAAATTCTAAAAGTAGGTCATAGTGACCTACTTTTTCTTAAATATGTTTTAAGGTCCCATGATGCAGCAACTTACAAGATTTGATGATTCTAACCCTTTCAGTGCCTGAAATAATGGGATTAAATGTTTTGAAAAGGATAAGTCATAAAGTTTAAAAAGTAGGTCACGGTGACCTACTTTTAAGTTGACGTTGTTCAAAGACCCAAGATGCATCAACTGACTAAGTTTGATGATCGTAGGCCTTAAAATATTCAAAATATGCCTTTAAATCAATTTGAAAACGAATGCCCGCAAAATTTAAAAAGTAGGTCACCGTGACCTACTTTTGAGTTAACATGATGTGAAGTCCTAAGATGCATCAACTTACAAGATTTGATGATCCTAGTCCTTATAGTAAGCAAAATATGAACATTTTTATTAATTGTAAATTTAGGTCAACTTTAAAGTGATCTTGAGACCACGCCCTTTGCCCCAGGGTCATGCCTTGAACAATTTTTAATCTTCAACATATCCTGATCCTTGTATGCAAGTTTGGTGAAAATCTGCCTGGTGGTTCTGGAGAAGAAGATTTTTTTTCAGCAACCAGTACTTTTTGTTTTGTTTTGCTGATTATCTCCCCTTGATTCAGGGTCCAAACCCTTTATTTTAGTACAAATGGTAGCCCTTATGCCAAGGATACCCTGTGACAAATTTGACACTGATTGGCCAAGGGGTTCTTGAGTTATGGCCCTGCCGCCCATGTTCTTAAAAGTTAACACACACTGCACACCGCACAAATGGCCATAGCATTAGCTCTTTGAGCCTTTGGCTCAGAAGAAGCTAAAAAACATGATTTGTTTTTTATGTTACAGGAAATTATCATCTTAATATTATTTCTTTATTTTTAAATTAAAATTTCAAATATTCAATTAATTAAGAAAAATAAGTACCCTAAATAATGCTATCAAATCTCTTTAAATTTGGATGGGTGTGAAATAGTAGCAAGAAAAGTGAATTATTAGGTATATCATACTGTCAGTATGATGTTGAAGGTGAAATACACAATAATACATTTGTATTGCTACATTATTTATGTTTATTCATTCTAATTAGGGTCAGTCGAGTATCCCTCTTTTTAAGGACCAGGATTAGTATTTAAGAACTGAGTGAACTTATGTCAGTGCAATATACAGGGGCTTATGATCTGAAAAGTAAGCCTCAAGTGTCACCCAACTTTGAATTTGAGTTTCAGGAATGTTTGTGTATATGTGATCAAGTGCAGATTCATAGTCAGTAGTGGAACCTGTAGGTAGGTATCTTAAATTGAAGTGGGACATGAATTCAATGATGTTTCCTGCTTGTGATGAAAGATTGTCAGCATTGAAGTCTCCAGTCAATACAACATGGTTGGAATCTTTCAAACAGTCTTGAAACATATTTTGAAGCATGTTTTTGACAGTTTTCAGATTGGCCTTTGGTGGGATATACAAGAACATAAATAACAATAACTTTCCGCTGCGAATTTCAATAAGCAAGGAAAAGATTTGAATATTCTGTTTCTCCCTTTTGGTGATTTTTTGAACAGTTAATGATTCCTTCACATAAAAAGCAAGACCATATGATGGTCGTTGGTTGCTATGTTGTGGAGAATCAAACCTATACATTGTATATCCTGGCAAAGAAAGTGTGTCAGCATCATCAGTTTCGATAAGTCTTGTTTCAGAAATTGCTAATACGTCAGAACTCATAAGGTTGAAATCCTTCTCCAAATCATCCTTGTGCTTATGAAGCGATCTTATGTTGAATGATGTTAAAACTGTAGAATGAGGGTCCTCTACCCAAATTATTAATACACATTTCCATCTTTCCCTCACATCTAAGCCTGTTCATCTCTTCTAACACAGCTGGTGACAGTGAAATCTTTTTTTCATTCAAATTTGTGATGTGTAGGTTCTCAATATGTGTAACCCTACTGAGTCCCACATAATGCATATGGTCATTTTTTCTTGTTCCAAAATTTATAACTGCAGACTTCATAGTTGAGCCTTGTGCTTTGTGAATAGTTTTGGCAGCCCCTAACCTTAGAGGAAACTGTCTTCGTTTAACATGATATGTACCATTCATCTGAATTTGAAATTGCCTCGTTATTTCTAATATCGGTGTCCAAGTTTTTCTCAATTTCACTTTTGAATAGTCTTGCATATTCCTTGCGCAACTCCTTCCCAATGTTTTCATCATCAAATTGCACCCAAACGATGCTACACCTTGTTGATCCTTGCACGCGATAATCAAAGAGTTTAACTGTACATGATGCACCATTTGTGATTCCATCTTGAACATTAACATTATTGGTTATTTCAGCTGGAACTCCAATAACCAAACACAATACAGATGATAACCCCAGTGTTCTGGCAGAATCATCAGGAACTCTTGCTAACACTTTGGATTTTACAGCTTCTTCAGATGCTCCAATAACCCAGTCTATAGCATTTATACTGATTTTCTGCAAATCATCTGCCATGTCATATATTTTGTTATTGTATGACTGTACTTCATTTCTTGTGGTAAACAAATGGGGTATATTTTGTGTATCTGCAGTCTCAGACTTCACACATTGATATAGTACGGTAATGTCTTGTTAGGTCTTTCCACCTTTCTGTGGAAAGACCTATTGATTTCCTTCTGTTTCTTTTTTTTCCTTTTTATTTTTTATTATTTTTCCGCCGTGTGATTTTGAGTTTCAAGATTTATCGAAAAGATTTTAAGTTCATAAGAATGTACTCCGTAAAAGATTTTCGCAGTTGACCCTGCGTATATGAACTATGACCCCTTTCGGAGTTATTACCCCTTTCGCAAACAAGCTTGTTATCGCTACTCCTCTGAAACCGTAAACCGTAGAGAAATGAAACCTGCACCAATGTCTTCGACTATTTAAGGGGACTTTTCAATCTATTCATTGTGAAAGTATTTGGTGACCCCTTCAATGAGTTATTGCCCCTGAAACTTTTTGAATTTTACTTTTAATCAAAAATTTTCAAAACGACAAGTTGTAGAGACATGGGACCAACTGCATAAGATTCATTGACCTTTGACCTTCAAATTCATGTAAAGGTCAAAGGTTAAGGTCATTCCAAAACTGAGAAATTAAGCTCTTTTTATATCTCCTTTGTCTTTTAACATATACTTAATGTCTATGCATCATTGATATGTACTCTTAAAACTCTTTCAATGATTTTATTCTTGTCCCCTTAGAATAATCCCTTGAAAAGTTATTGCCCCTTGTGCGAAAAACCTTGTTATCGCTACTCCTCTGAAACCGTGAACCGTAGAGGTATGAAACTTTCACCAATGTCTTCGACTATTTAAGGGGCTTTTTCAATCTATTCATTGTGAAAGTATTTGGTGACCCCTTCAATGAGTTATTGCCCCTGAAACTTTTTAATTTTTACTTTTAATTAAAAATTTTCAAAACGACAAGTCGTAGAGACATGGGACCAACTGCATGAGATTCATTGACCTTTGACCTTAAATTTCATGTAAAGGTCAAAGGTCAAGGTCATTCCAAAACTGTGAAATTTAGCTCTTTTTATATCTCTTTTGTCTTTCAACATATACTTAATGTCTATATATCATTTATATGTAATCTTAATACTGTTTAAAAGATTTTGTTCTTGTCCCTAACATTAACCCTTTTAAAAGTTATTGCCCCTTGTGCGAAAAACCTTGTTATCGCTACTCCTCCAAAACTGTAGACCGTAGAGACACCAAACCTTCTCTAATGTCTTAAGGGTCTTTAGACCTAACTTCACT